AAGATATAGGATTTTTAAATTATTGTTTCATCTAAATGAATTGTTTTATTATTATATTCATTTTATATGTATAACTTAGTGTTTTTTTTTTATTAAATAATAATATTACAAAAAAAATTTTTTTTTATTATTATTACACTTAATGGAAATAATAACAATATTATAATTAAGATTTGAGAAAATATATTTATACAAACTATTTTATATGTGAGCCAATTTTTGTTAGTTATTTTTCAAAGTGTTTCAAAATGATGTTTTCTTTGAAAATTGTTCAATAAAAAATGGTTACTGCAGCCTTTTTTGAAGAAAAAAACCAAGCTTGGACTTAACTTTTGGTAGTAGATGATGGTTATTACATCAATATTTTTATTGGTTCCATCAAATTTTGAGTATCACTACCCAATTTCTTTCTTCTTTCTTGACCTATAATGGTTGTAGAGATGATTTGCCTTGTACTTTGACTTCTTTATTAATTGGTCTTGTCCAAATTTACCAACTTGATTAGCATTGCAATTCAGCACTAACTATTACTGCCTTTTCCTCTCCACCTTTATTATTTATTGTGTAGATATTCATAATTCTTACAATAACTGATAAAAAAAATTGAATTCACTACATCTTTATTAACAAAAAATTAATTTCTATAGAAAAATTTGAATGAATTGTGTTAAAATTGATTAATATCAGACATACAAGTCATTTTTTGAATTCATTCATAATAATAAATTTTAAATGTTACTTACTACCTTATTAATAAATATATATAGTATATTTATATAAAAACAAAAAAACTTTACTAAGTAAACTGACTTATGTTTTATTCTTGTAATTACCCAGCAAGATTTGCTCCACATTTTGATTCCAATTAAAATATTTATAAGCTAAAATAAAAATATCAATCACATACAAATAAAAAAAAGTACCTCTGGTTAGTTATTAACACGTATTCTTTAGGAGGCCCAAACCAAACCAAACAACAACACTCACATTTTGTCACCTTGGACTCTGTCAAAAAATAAATTGTTTTTTGTTTTTCCAAAAAAAAAAAACCATAGGATAAATAATTAATGTGTACGTGTTGACCAAATAACAAGCTTCTTTTTTAAAATTTCTTTTATAAACATGCCTTGCCAGAAAAAAACAAGTCAAGAAAAAGATGCTGAAAAAATATATGGGTAAGTGTTTTAAGGATGGTGTGATGGTTATCACCCGCCACTTGTCATTACTCTAGTTATCATTTAAGAAATAAATGTTTTAGTTTACTAAGATTTTGACTTTTATCAGAACTATCACTACCAACAACAACCTCATTACACAGCTTGAAACTTGTATTTCAGAGAATAACAGGTTTAATATTGAAATTGAGCAGAAAAAAGTTGAAATGACAAAATCATCAGAAAAAAGCTGTGAAATAAAAAGGAATTTATTAACCACAACAGGGTTGGCAAATGTGCTGTCCATTGATGGTCTATTGGTGGTCCATTGGGTCCATTAGTGTGACACTTTAACCATATTTAGTATTCTATTAATGGCAATGGACCAGTCCAAAATCCATCTGTTCTCAATGGACCAGTCAATTTGCCAACCCTGAACCACAAAAGAGAAAATTGCAAACCTTGATTCACAGATCACAGGCAAATGTCAGGAATTAGAGATCTTAAATAATAGCATCAAAAAAGATTGCAACAAACTGACCAGCCTCAAGGATGCTGAAGGATCTTTTGCCAGGAAATCAATGGTAATTGGGGAAAAAATTGAAGAAAAAATGTTGATCAAACATTTGAACACAGAATTCTTTAAAAATGAAAACACTTGTCACCGTTTACACAACGCCATTCAAGATAATGATACCTGACAAAATGATTGACATTTAGTCAACTGACAAAATGTTACATGACAAAATGTAATTTACCACTAAGAGCATATTGATGAAAAGGAAAAAGAGGAAAAGTTGATGAAAAGAAAAAATTGGCAAGAGAGAAAAATATAACCATTTTCATAAAGAAATTTTGTAATAATCTGCAATAATAATTTTTATTTAAACTTGTTTTGCATTTTACATTTAAAATTTAAAATATAAAGAGAAAATTTAATAAATTTTTTATTTTTTTACTCTTTTGTCCGAGTCAAATTTGTAAC